TTTTTTTTTTTTTTTTTTTTTTTTTTTTCATTTCATGTTGTCTTTTCAGCATGTTTAGAACTGCCAGCTCATTCGTCCCACCGCTTTTAATACTTTGTAGTCCATTGTCATTTCACACCACGAAGAGATTCTAGATCGGGAATTTTGAAAAAGCCCACTGGACACATAAAAGGCTTTCATTTGCCTTTTATTGTAAAATCTGTCACTCTTAGTGTAAAATATTCAAAAGGGCATACTATGTTGGTAGGCTTTGCCTGAACCTACAATTCGCGATACATTACTTTTTAATTACTTCAGTAATTTTATCTGCAAAAGCAGCCGCACCACACGAAGAAACCGAGAGTTAGGCCTTTTTTGATTTGCTTTTGGGAATACATTCGAAAGCATGAATTATCAACACCCTATTATAAGCAATAACTGTTGGAGAAAATACTGCTAGCTATAGGTGATTGCAAATTATAACAACAGGTTCCTTTTCAAAATCGCACAAGAAAACATATTCTTAAGTTTTATTTAGTAACCAACATCAATGTCCTCCTGCACAGAGCTCTCTTCACCAAGGTGCAGCCTCATGTTGATCATCTCGGACACCGCTGCGTCACGACTTGCATCGTCACCACAGTTAAATTCACAATAGCGTATCTGTGGCTGTATTTCTCGGCACCTGAAAGACAATAAGACCTATGAATGCGTCCTTCCGTACGGCAATAAATAATTAGTCAAAAACTTCGAATATTGTAAGATTATTAAAACAAACATGACATGGGTGAGAAAAAGATTGATAAAACCTAGCTGGATTAGGTAGTGTCCTTTTTTGAGAGCTGAGAGTAGAAGAGGAAAATTTTTTAACATGCGGCATTGCTAATCTGGCAGAAGAAAGGAAAAGTCTAATTTTTCCCCATTGAAAGACTGGAAGTGAGATATGAAATCTGAAAGCAGCAAGTGCCACTCACCATTAATTAAACCAACCAGTAATCCCGTCCCGACAATAAAGTTAAACTGAGTTCTAAGCTTGAAATTACCTTGCCCTATAGAGGTCCGATAAATCGGGCTGCTTGACAACTGCGGCAAGCTTCTCGTATATCGTCCTGAAACACTTGTTTTTATCACAGTAGGTGCGAAAGAATTTTATGAGGCTAATTTCAGCGTTATCAATTGAGCAGGCATAATGGGGAGCAAATTTTTGTTTGCATACTTTTACAACTTATTGTTTGGACTTCTTTTCTAGTGTGAAAGCTACCTGAAAACACCACTTGCGTCATGTTTTTCCACATCCTGGCCTTGAGAACACCAGATGGAAAAGTGTCATTTTTTAGCCGAGCCTACAAAATTTAGAGCGGTGTGTGTGTGTGTGTGTGTGTGTGTGTCCCAGAGATAATAAAGACCTAATCATCGCAATGAACGGTCTTTGAGAGATAAAGCCAATTACTTAGAAGTTTTGAGACAATCCAAAGCTCCTTTCCACTGCTTCTGTTCAAATCGAAGAGAACCGTTCACCCAAGCATTGTATGCTTGAGCTTCGAGTCTTGTTACTGCGTCCACCTAAAATACTACACAGATATGTGCAACTGTCGAATAACTGGCAGTGACTAACAAAACATCCACAGCCTCACTTTAAAAGCTAGAAGTCTGCAACTTCTAGAAGCATGAAAAACCACTGATACTCTCAATCTGTGGTTTGCAATAAATCGTCAAATACGAACACGGTCGCAGCTTCGCACGACGCTTTCAAGAATCGATGAATGTTTGGCCGCGCGTCGTATCTTTGCGATCATGTGGAAGCGCTTCCTTGAGTGCAGATCTTCGCCCATCTCCTGTTTCAGCTGCATCGCGAACGCCCAGTTCCTCTCGGCATCAAAAAGCGCTGTTTGCAAGTATCTGAAATTCTGTCAAACACTGAACACTTGAGCAACAACGACGGGTGTGCGCTAAGAATTGGTCACGTGAAAAAGGGCACCTTTGTTCCGTAACAACTTCAGTGACCAGCTTTCTCTGGAAAAACTTCGCCGAATGCTTCGGGACACCTTTGTGCAAATGTGTGAAGCCAAGAGATCTGCGAATTCTTCGTATACGACGTGCGCAATAACCCCTGAAACATGCAAACTGCTGAAGCTCCAGTCATTACAGGCACTGGTACCAGCCAATCAGTGTTCAGGTGCATAAATATGCACGCATCACAGCTCTGGTCCAATGAGGAACAGACGCTCGAGTGTCCCCTGTTTTCATAGCTTAAAACTGCGTGGTTGTGCTTCAATCGTTTCTGAGTAAGCCTTTTGCTTTTGTAATTCCCGCATATAGAAAACTGGCTGTCGAATGGTACTTGCCCGCGCTGCAAGGAAGAATTGTCTGAAAGCTACTGTGTAGCCGAAAGTAGAGCAGAACGGATCATCAGCTACATCGAACACATCAGAAGGAATTACACGGCCGTGTAACTATAATAACCGTTCTTCAA